GCCATTCATTTTTTGCATCGAATTAAACAGTTTTCTTATTGTAAACTTAATAAGAAAACATAATCGAATGATCACAACACAATAACAATCACAAAAAGAAACACAATAAGAAAGTTTTGAAAATAGAAGGTTAGACCAACATTAAGAATTTTTTTTTCAGAATTTAATGCATTTAAACTATTCTTGACTAACAGGACAAATATAAAGGAAAAACAATTAATAATTTCCCGAATTCTCTAAGAACTAATAAATGACTCTATCCTTTCTTCAAAACGTAAGTATTTAATACTTTTTATTTGGATTATTGCTTGATTTTTTTATCACTAATATCGATTATAAAGTTCTAAAATAAAATTTCAAATAGACTAAATATCATGGACAAAATATTTTACAGCTCAATATTTTTCAATTTTGTTCTCAAATTTTTTGATTGAGGATTTTATATTCCTTGAATACTTTTATATCGTCTTTCGTTCACTGTTGGAGTTTGTTTAGACAACAAACCTTTTAGATTTTACAAACATTCCAATTTTTTACAATAAGAATGATCAAGTTTTAAAAAAGTATTATGAAAATTATGTCCAAAAATAATTTGTCTTTCCTCATACAGGAGACATTTTACCAAAAAAGGAATTTTTACTTGAAATTCTGCCTCCTATATAATTGTTAGCACAAAACTTTATAATGCAATCGCTTTATAACGCGATATTTTGATCGCACTGTATAGGGTTAGCAAAATTAAATAGTTGAATTAAAGTAATTTAGGGCTTTACGAAATAGCAGAGACTTAACCTCCATATTTATATTAAATCTAAAAAAAATTATTCTCAATCTTTTTTTTTATTGACGAATATCTGTTGACGGACCCTTTTGCTACGCATCAAAAATTCGTTGAGCACATTATTTTTACATATTATTTACGTCAACAGTACGCCAAAATGTTCGCAAGTTGAAACGTCAAATTATAGAAAAAAGGAGTTTTCCAAAAAACGGAAAATTTAGGTAAAATTTTACGTAAAGAAATTCGTATATTTTAAGAATATTTTACCAACCACTTTTTACAAAGTAAAATTGAGTACGTTATTTCTACATATTATTTACGTCAACAGTACGTCAAAATGTTCGCAAGTTGAAACGTCAAATTTTCCAAAAAACGGAAAATTTAGATAAGCTTTTACGTAAAGAAATTCGTATATTTTGAGAATATTTTACCAACCACTTTTTACTGAGTAAAATTGAGCACATTATTTTTACATATTATTTACGTCAAGAGTACGTCAAAATGTTCGCAAGTTGAAACGTCAAATTATAGAAAAAAGGAGTTTTCCAAAAAACGAAAAATTTAGGTAAAATTTTACGTAAAGAAATTCGTATATTTTAAGAATATTTTACCAACCACTTTTTACTGAGTAAAATTGAGTACGTTATTTTTACATATTATTTACGTCAACAGTACGTCAAAATGTTCGCAAGTTGAAACGTCAAATTATAGAAAAAAGGAGTTTTCCAAAAAACGGAAAATTTAGATAAGCTTTTACGTAAAGAAATTCGTATATTTTAAGAATATTTTACCAACCACTTTTTACTAAGTAAAGTTGAGTACGTTATTTTTACATATTATTTACGTCAACAATACGTTAAAATGTACGTAAGTTTAAACGTCAAACTAGAGAAAAATACAGATAATATCCACAAAATAAAACAANAAAAAAAAAAAAAAAAAAAATTACGTGAATAAATTCAAACCGAAATTAAAACGGTAAATTTTCTTCGTCAATAATGAGTAAAATACCCAATCATTTTTACTAAATCTAAATGGTAACTATTTGTTCGTTAAGCATTCGTAAAATATACGAAAGCAAGGGTAGTTGGTAAAATCCATTCAGCTAATATTGCAAAAACATACCAAAGCTTTTTTAAAAAATATATTTATGGTAATATCATTCCATCAATATTATGTAAAATATACGCATAAAGTTTATTGACTTTACCTATTTGCCAAAAATTTATGTTTAATTTACGTATCATACTACATTGGTAAGTGTTTAAACATAGCGTATATGCAGCAACAAGAACTATTGGCGGTGCAAAAAATGGAGAAAGATTAGAATCAGCTTAATTACAGATTGCACGGAGAAGATAATTCTGGTAAAATTACCGAGCTGTATGGTAATGAAATCCCGATAAAAAAATAATAATTCTGGTTAATAAAACCAAAATATACGGTATTTAAACCTTTCATTTGGTAATTTTTCCTGTCATATGGTAATGGTTTAATAAAAATTCTGATTTTCAAGATTATAGTTCTTATTATCGCTCATTTAGTAAAAAAATACAAATTTATTTCTCTTTTAACTGCAGGAACTGAACTTATCGTTCTTTGCCATGCAAGGTGCTGAAAGTGTTGCTCATTTTGCGTTGCCTGGTGAGTACCTAGTGACCAATCACGAAGGCGATCACAAATACCCGTTCATATTCACAGATACCGTAGGCCATATTCACACATCACACACAACAGAGGACACAACTCACAGAGAGAAATATCCATGCCCGGAGCGGGATTCGAACCCGCAGCTATAGGCTTCGCAGTCAGGCACGCTAAACAAATACAAAACTGAAAAGTAAATTAAAACGAATAAATGGTTTTTATGCTCCACAGCATGAAAAATCATCAAATTGTAAAACATATTATAAAACAATATTCTATTATTAATTTTACCAAAGTCATGACCAAAACGCTTTGGTAAAAATTACCGTGCTTTTAGTGCTAATCAGAAACATGATAAATTTTAACACATTATGGTAGTTTTGACCATTCTTTTTTTTATCTGTGCGGTTAATTATTTGTGCTGAAACTTTATAGTTCGTTTCCGCAACGCGACATAATCGCTTAGCCGGATGGAATTCTAACGCATGCTTTATTATCATGAATTATCTACAATATCAAATGTGCGTTAAAAAGAAAAATATTATTTTATATCTTATTGAAAATGACATTAGTAAGTAATTTAAGTTATGAGAAATTAAAGAAAAAGTCACAAAGAACAAACTTTCAAGTTTTATTGAAGATAAATCAGTTAACAGTTACAATAATTTGATATAAAACAAGATTATAAATCTGTCTTCTTTTCGGAAAATAGTGCAAAATATTTTAAAACTCCGACTTATTCAATAAGATTTATTTTTTGGCATACTAGAGAAACTGTAAAGTTATTTTCCCTGCTTGAAAGAAAGTGTTTGCCTAAAATAGCCTAGACTTGATCCCAATCAAGAATTTATGATCCACTTAAAGAAAATCCACGGATAAAGAACATAGAATTTTAAGATTTCTTTTATCTTTTTTTAGGAAAAAAAAATATTGAAAAATGTCTGTCTTTTCATTTAGAAGAAAAAAAAAGATTTCTTCATATCTCGTTTAGACAAGGAAAGAAAAGAAATTCTAAAGAACTTTGGCAGATGCAGGTATTTTTCTTTAAGTTCTGGTTCACGATATAGTTACGCAATACGTATCACGATTTATGTTTGGACTACTGTCATTGAGTTTTAATATTTTTCTTAAAATGTATTATTTCAGAGAAGATAATGACATTGAAAATAAAAAGATTTTGACGAACTTAAAATGAAATGATTTGAAAGTGTTTAATTACTCAAAAATAAATATTTGAATGAATTACTTAACTCCATATTTTTTTCATATTTAAATCATACATTACCAGACATTCACAAATTAATTTCTATTCGCAGTTTTTTTTTTTTTTTTGTTTCCTTACCAAAGACTGGCTTATAGTTCGCATCGAAGAAAATGAAATAAAATTTAACTCGCTAGTTGATGAGAATCTTTAGATTAGTTTCATGGATATTAAATTAAATTTAATTAAACAATTTTTATAAACTTTAAGGTTTAATATGTCGGTACTCTTTCGTAAACTAGAAAAATTTTTTGGAAACAACTTTATTTCGCTTTTCGAGCAAAGTTTTTCGACTGACGTTACGAATAACGGTATTTCCGATCAGCGATCACCGAATGACCATTTTGAAGAATATAGGTGGCAAATATATAGTGGCCTAGCATCAGAGTTTTAATTTTACTTCGTTTACAATAATCGCTGGGAATCAGTGCTTTAATAAAGGAAATATAATTGGATATATTGGAATCAAAATCTTATTAAGATCATTCTAGTTCGTTATTCACTGATATAATATTGGATCTATAATACTGGAGTTTTAACTGAAAATAAAAAGATCATATGAGAGATTTAAAATAATATGCTGTTTTCTTTAAGCTTGCATACAGAACGTTATCAAAGCCGGGAGACGTTCTATAAGCAGACAAAAAATTTAATGAACGAAAAGTCAAAAATATTTTTTAAATGAAATGGAATTTCTCAGAAGTGACGACTAACAGCATCCTCTGGATTGCTGGTTTTTACCAAGAAAAAAACTAAAATTTCGATAATATTTAACTAATTTTTACTAACTTTATCGGTAATATTTTATTACATAAAATATTTTACTATTTTCTTTAAGATTGCATACAGAACGTTACCAACCCTGGGTAATCCTCTATACGCAGATAAAAAATGTTAATGAACAAAGAGACAAAAAATGTTAATGAAATGGAATTTCTCAGAAGCGACAACTAACAGCATCCTCGGTTATTGCCGGTTTTTACGGGGAAAAACTAAGCTTTCGATAAAAATTGAAAACCTTTCATTATATTCACTCATAATGTTTCTTAACTTATTTTAATAGTTTCAACTTATTAAAAAACCATGTCTTGGCTCTGTACTCCACCCTTTTTGTAAGCTTAAAATTATTTTCTTTTTACTTTTTTGGTTGTTGCTTTTGCTGGTTTACTTTCGACTGTTTCTATCACTATATTTTACAGTTAGTGGCTAACATACGTAACAATTGTTTATGGTAGTTAAATAGATAAAAACGAAACATTTTAAACAAATAACTGTTAAAAAGTAATGCATAATTATGAAACATAAAAATACCTGTTACAATTAGCCTGCCGGCTTTGGCACTTTCAACGACTTCTCCTGTTAGTCTGTTCCTAGTCTGGCACTTATAACTTCTGTGAGAAAAACTGGTTTCTACATTTCTTATATACAATGTACCCCAAGGAAACGTTAAGTAACGACCACCTGTGGAGTAGTAAGAAAGGAATTTTAAGATAAAATTAAAAAAAAAAAGCAAAACAAGCATCATAATAAAATTATAAAATGCCTTTATTTTTACGAAGCCCATTTAATTATTATAAAAATAGGAATTGCAAAAATGTAACAAAACTTATATTGCAAAACAGTTACTTAAAATAGACAATTCCAGTCCCATGGCCAAACCATTAGACGCACTATAAGATTCTACGTAAAATCTTAATTATCAGGTGATACTATACAGCTTTATTGCTTTCATGTGACTGAAACCGGTTTGCACTTGTTTACGTTAGTCTATCAATTGGTTAAATTAGACGATATATTATATAAATTCCACTATTCGATAAATTAGACGATATATTATATAAATATAGAATGTTTATTATATCAGGTATTATGGTAGTATATTATAATAATTAGACCAAATTATTAGATGCACTGGTAGTGTTTTAATAATTACATGTTTAGCATGATTTTGTATGCAATACTTTTATATTTAAACATACATGTAATGTATTTTATTCAGGAGATTCTTTATATGCATCCTATTTGTATTTATTTTTAACGTATTGCATTACAATGTTAACCCATTGACACACGAACGTAAGCAAGTGTAAACCGGTTTCTGCCGTGCAAAAACAATAATGCTGTGTAGCATCATCTGATAATTAAGATTTTACAAATAATATTACAGTGAGTCAAATAATTTAGCCATGGAACTATTTTATTCGTCTTGAGGTTGGTTTCTGTTAAGATGATATCATCTGCTGATTTCAAGAAAACAGTTACGGTTTTGATTCATAACCAGACCGGTTCCGTTAACCGGTGGGTATTAAAGCATTTATGCAAAACAATAAAAAAACGTATTATTTTACACCTAACAAATGTTTTACGGGATATTTTTCAAAGGAAATTCATTCTGCGTTTAAATAAAGTAATGCATTTTTAATTTTAGATTTTTTTTTAAATAATTTATAAAAGTTCTAAAAGTTGTAAATATTTGGATGTGATATGATTAACGTAAAACTTTGTTATGAAGTGGAGATATCTGCTTTAATTGTCCTTATAATTAATTAAATTTAACTTTATAATTAATTAATTAATTGTCTTTATAATTAATTAAAGAGCTGTAATTTTAAAAACCAGAATTTTTGATTAACCGTTACCATATAAGCGGAAAAATTACCAAATAACTGGTTTAAATACCGAATTTCATGATTATGAACATTTTTTTAAACCAGAAATGGCATTTCCATACAGTACTGTATTTTTACCAGATTTTTCCCCGTGTATGATTTGAAATTATTATTTATGTAGTAATGGCAATAATATTTTCCGAGTACTCGGTAAAAATTTTGTCTGATCTTTTCGGTCCCCTGAACTCTAGCTACTGAGCAATACCTTAATCAGTAAAGATATTAGCGCAGACGTAAATATGACGTCACAAAGACGTCATCTCTGCTTAAACTGGAAAGTTTCAGTTATTAATAACAAGCTGTGACGAGAGGTCAAGCTAGTGATGTTTTTCTTTTTTCAATTGAATTATTGTTAGATTTTATTTTAGAATGCCGAGTAGTGTACAATATGTTTGTTTTTACTTTAAGTAAATGAATTTTTAGTAAAAAGTTTATTTTTATTCACTGCAATTGTCTTCTATATTCTAAAACAGAAAGGCTATTGTAGTGCAACTGAAGAGAAAGTGAATAATGAATTTGTATAGAGCATAAAGAAGGAGTTGAAACTGTATTTAAATGAGTATGTAAAGCTATTCTAAATGCAAAATATCTTCATTTTTCATGTTAGTAATAATACAAAGCAATAATTTAAGGTTCTCTATAATGCCTTTTGAATTTCCCTTCAAGCTTTACAATTAATAAGTTACACTTTTCACTCAACTCAAATGCTTCTCCCCGAATTTTAGCTCCATTCAAATTCAAAACTTTTTCATTTGGCACAAATGAGTGCATCATTTCGCGAAGAATTCTTCAGCTGAAGTTGGCACATCACTTGGGGAAAAAACGTATTCCCATCTCATGAATTGAAGATGGCTTCTTCCATACGAAATGTGTGATCGAAAAGAGAAATGATGCTACTCAGAAGAAAAAAAAGACGTCAGGGTGCTATGGTTGGATGATTTATATCATCGGCGCCCAATTCTTGATGTCTTCAATCTATTACACCAGAATACTAATCTTCTCTCTCAATGTGTTATGGCGTTTGTGATGAACACAACAGGTTATCCATACAAGATGCATGTGTTGCGATATTTTGTGGCAAAATTTTGCTTGATTCAAAAGTCTGTATATAAAACTGTAAACTTCTATGTGGTTATATAATTTACTGATCATTGAATTTATTTAAATAATTCTATTTATTGTATTGTCTATTTATTGTCCTATCTGTTGTAAAATTTGCCTAGACAAACCTCTATTTGCAGAGACTATTTACACACTTTCAGATATAAAACGTTCACTTTTGACGATTCAGCAATCTTTGATCTGTATTTCGTAAATTTTGAGAATCATGAAATCACGTGACGAAACGCGAACTCTCAAATATATGACGAAAATGTTTCCTCAACATGAAACCTCATTGCCCAGCATTGTGGGTAAATGAACGAAAGAATGACGAAACTAGAATGACTAAATGTTTATTTTCCTTTGACGAAATTCGTTTCCTCGAAGAAGTAACGATGATTATTTCGTCACTTTGACGGAATGTTCGCTCAGGGCATGTACAAGGAAACAGTTTCGTCAAAAATGAAGAAAGTTTCGTAAAATTTGAGAATCCATTTACAGTGCATAGAAAATCCTGATTTTACAAAAAGAACAGCCTTTCAAAGGCAAGCAAACATAAAAAATCAAGTCTATTACTTCGCTTTGAATTTTATTCATCGCAATTTTAAAGAAAAAAAATGTGATCGCTGCAGATTACTTATTGGCAAAATGGTTGCTGTCAAATTTTTTTCGCAACTCAAGAAGTATTTATGGGATTTCTCTGGTCCCATATCTCAAAAAGAAACTCACCAACTTAATGCATAACAAAATTTAAAGTGAAGAAAAGAATTCCAAAAAATTTCCAAACAGCAGCGGTCGCCATAGCAACACATGCGCAGTGTTTACTATTACTCTTGAATACAGTTGAAAAGTGTGATGACGTCCAAATAAGGTGCCCACGCCATCAAACTCAAAACAACATCCATTTTGCCAATGGGTAAAAATTAAAACATTATTTCTTCAAGTGATAAAATTATTCCAAATGTTGTCCAGAGAGCCGAGATGGCTCAGGGGATAGAGCGTTCGCCTTCCAATGAGATGAACGGGGTTCGAATTCAGCGACGGCTGCTCGATACGAATTCCGTATCCGGCTTGCACCAACGCCAGTGCTGACGTGAAATATCCTCAGAAGTAGACGGATCATGGGTTAGAGTCCCCTTGTCGTCAGGCTAACCGTGGGATGTTGTCGTGGTCTTTCTCTCCCTGTAACGCAAATGCGGGTTAGCTCCATCAAAAAGTCCTACATGAAGGCAAATTTCTCCCAATACTCGATCCAGGAGTTCCTTTGTCTTTTGGATTGGGTTAAAATTACAAGGCTACGGAGTTGAACATTAGTAGTCGTACACCCATATAATTGGGTCAGCTGTTCAACGACGAATATTAAAAAAATTTTTTTTGTCCAGAATGTTGGACGATGGGACTCAGAAGAATAATAAGATATAAAAATCAATAATAATTTACACCATAATATGGTTAAATTTAGAATAGTGTTCAGCAAATTTCAACACATTTGTACGATATTAAGCTAAAAAATCACACCAAAATGTCAAACAGTGCACGAAAAGTTTATAATTAAAAGGAAACAACATTTTGCGGTAAATAATTGTACTGATTTTGAACCGCCTAAGTTATTAAAAGCATATAGATTAGTTGTTATTTGTAACCACTCTGATGACATCCATGTGATCTATGTATTGTTAAATACTGATTAGCGTTGAGCCGTAACTAAAACATCAGATAACCCATTCATTGTTAATTAGAGCAATGAATCTCATAATTGATACTCGGGGCATGATTTCAAATGCAAATACGATAGGCGAACTCTCATGACAGCCACAGTGGCAGAAACCTCTGTATTGATCTGCGAACATTAGGAAAAAATTCTAACATTTATCATCTACTAAGTCAATTATTTGTATTCAAATAATGCATTAATTATGTTTGCCAGTTTCAATTGGCTGTAATGCATAATACTATAATATAAAATTAAATAACTGCGCTAATAAATGAAAGTATTCAAAAAATAATAATTGAAAATTTAATAATTTGGATCATCCGAATTCCACACCCAGCTCGCACTGATGACGTAAAATATCTTCAGTTATAGACGGATCATAGGTTGGTGTCCTTCTGCCATCAGACTAAGCGTGCGAGGTTTTCATGGTTTTCCTCTCCATGCGTCGCAAATGCGGGTTAGTTCCATCAAAAAGACCTTCACGTAGGCAAATTTTATCCACCACTTGATCCATGAGCCGCTATGTCTCAGGGGATAGAGCTTTCACTTTCCAATGAGATGAACCGGTATCGAATCCAGCGATGGCTGGTCGATACGGATCCGCATCCGTCTTTCACCGACCACAGTGCTGACATGAAATATCCTCAGAGGTAGACGGACCATGGGTTAGAATTGTTCTGCAGTCAGGCTAACTGTGGCAGTTTTTCGTGGTCTTCCTCTCCGTATAACGCAAATGAGGGTTAGTTACATCAAAGAGTCCTCCATGAAGAAATTTCTCCCAATACTTGATTCACGAGTTCTCTTGTCTTCTAGATTGGGTTCAAAATTACAAGGCTGGCGACGTTGAACATTAGTAGTCGTAAACCCAAAAAAATTGGGTCGGTTGTTCAACGATGGTTACAAAATTAAAAAAAAAATTGGAACATAATTGAAAAAGAAGAAGAACTATATAACACTAAAAAATAAGAGTTAAAATT